ACTAGCAGGGAAGGAGGAGCAGTCCTCATGGAGTCTGTGAACCAGCCAGTTGTGGGCCTTAAAGCTGTCCCTGAGCCCCCTACATTGCATGCATGTTGTGGGGCACAGGGAGGATAATGGTCTCTAGCCTGTTGGCTAACTGTCACTTGCCAGCTGACCTGGCCTCTTCTGGAGGGCCCATTTAGCCTCTTTCTGCCTCTAAAGTCATCAGCCTATGAAATAGCATTTAGGATTTGCTACTCTCACATAAGACAGGGTCCCTTGGGGAAAATGGAAATGGTCCCATGGACAGGGAAGAGAATCCAGGAGGGCTTCATGTGTTGCCATGAGCCTCCTTCACCAGGACCATGCCCCGCCCTGAGGGCAGGAACTTAACATGGCCACAGAGGGCCCTACACATGTCACATACTCCCCATCCATGTTCCATGCCCATTGGAAGCAGGAGGCACAGGGGAAACTCCTAGAGGGGCATACCTGAGCACTCATGGGCAGGTGTGTTAGACACAGAAATTCTGAGCAAGGGGACACGTGGACCTGAATCCTGACCCCAATACTAATTAGCTGGGGCCCATGGCAAGTCAATTCCTCCAGTCCCTCTTGACTCATCTGTAAACTGGGGGAGTGGGAGAATAGGCTCAAATCCTCCCAATCCTGATGACAGCGACACAAGGCAGGGTGGGGGAGAGGAACCGTAATGTCCCAGGGGCTCCTAAGCCCAGGAGAGGGAACTTGCTTCTTCTTAAAGGTTGACCCCAGTATCTCCATCACAGAAAGGAAACTCAGTCTCAGTGGTCTTTGCAGGGTAGTAGCTGCCCACCTGCTTCTTCACATTGGTAATGTCACAGCGGATCCTCTGGATGAGTCGGTTTAGCTCTGACATCTCGTTCCTGGTGTGTTTGAGGTCATCTCCATGCCTGCCAGCTGCCAGCTGCAGCTCCTGGATCTAGTGTTCCAGAGATGGGAGGGGAGTGATGAGACAGGCAGGGAGGGGTCCTGGGCAAACACCCCCTCTATCAGGCTGAGCCAGGGTGACTCTAAAGCAGGTGCTAAAGGAGCTGGCACCTGGGCATCCTTACAGCTCTGACCCAGAAGTCCACCCTGTTCTCTAAGCAGAACCTATCTGCAATCCCTGCCCCTGTATTGTCACCAGGCCTCCAGTCCTTCCTGGGCTAAGTAAGGAGAAGATGCAGCTCACATTTATTAAGCACTTCCCAGCATAAGAAGAGCCCTGGCCCTTGCTTTCTCTCATTTATCACATAGTCCTACAAGCATTTTCTTAAAGACCAGCTTCTGTCTCAAGTACCCAGCAGTGAGTGGGACAGGTAAGGTCCCCATCCTCCTAAGTCTTGCATTCTCCTGTGGCATTTTCTTGGTCAGGGGGGCAGAGAGGAGGGAAGCCCAGGGTTCCATGTACCCTTGAGGGGGTCACAGTGCAGGATGGGTGGAATTAGTGGCTTCACTCTTCCCTGTGCCCAGTCCTCTGGGAAACAGGGAATGGCATGGCCATGGACAGGACAAGAGACAGGATAAGACATGCAGATGGCCGACACCCCCATCCTTGCTGTGAATTGTGCTATATTTAGATCTGGAATGTCCCCAAAGGCCCAAGAGGCTTTGTCGTCAGCTTTGTGCTACTGAGGTATGGAAGAGTTAGAAGGTGGGGCCTAGTGGAAGGAAGTTAGGTCTTTGGGGGTGTGCCTTTTGGCAGGATATGGAGACCCTAGTCCCTCCTCTCTGTGCTTGCTTCCATGAGCAGCCTCCTTGCAGTATCTACCCCCACCCCACCCCCACCCAGTGTACTGTGTCACCACAGGCCCAAAGCAATAGGGCCAAGTAACCATAAACTAAAACTTCTAAAATCATGAGCCCAAATAAACTTTTCCTCTTTTTGTAAGTTGATTTTCTCAGGCATTTTGTCACAGAGAAGGAAAGCTGACTAGCAGAGTTGGAATCTAATGGTTGTGTGAAAAGGAGCAAGAGAGCAGGGGCCCTGGAGGAGATTCCAGTAAGGATTTTCCCATAAGACAGCCCCAAAGAGTCTTACCCAGCACATAATTTCATTATTTGGAACACTCCTAGAATTTCACTTGCTCTTGAACATCTTCCCACACCCATCAGAAAAGAGCTCAGGGCCTCCCCTGCTGTCACTCCCCACCCAACCTCAGCTTGCCTATAGCTACTCTGTGTTTGTGACTCTCCTTCTGCTCTATGGCAGATGCCCCCAACCCTGAAAATGCATTTGTTTTACAATAAGAACACCTCGACCTCTCCTCTTTTGAGGACTGCTTGTCCCTCTCTAGTGAGTACACCCATTCATACCAGTTTCCTGATTTATCTTTGATAATACTGTCTGCTGAGACTTTTCAGCATTGAACCACTGGTTATAACCCTTCTTCATTGAATCTACAGTGTCCTGGGAAGGCCACCTCTCACATTCACAGGTGGAGATCACTTGCTCTTGAACATCTTGAACATCTCCCGACCCACCCAGTGCCCACCTTGGTCTGGTACAGAGCCTCAGCCTCAGCCTTGCTCTTCAGGGCGATGTCCTCATAGTGGGCGCGGACCTCAGCAATGATGCTGTCCAGGTCCAGGTCCCTGTTGTTGTCCATGGACAGGATGACAGAGGTCTCACTAGCATGAGTCTGGATCTGGGCGATTTCCTAGAATGAGAGATGAGGATAGAGTCAAGGCCCCAGCTTCCTTCCTGTGTCCCATGAGTCTTCTAGGCCTGTATTCCCTGGAAGAATGGGTCACTGGGTTCCACAGGGACAAAGTGGGGTAGTGTCTGCTGAAGATGTCTGCAGAGCCAAGGAAAACAGCTCACAGCAGCAGGCAGCAGGAGGAAGGATGAATTCCCTACAGTTCCACACAACCTAAGAAGCTGTGCATTAGTAGGACCTCACAGGGTCATTTCTCCTGCCTGTGGGCAAGACCACTACCATGGCCCAGATCAACAGCCTCCTATGTGCACAGCCTCCTAGGTGCACTCCAGGGACAGGACGCTGTACTTTCATGGTCAACTAGTGCAGGAATTTGTACCTTGCCACTGAAACATCCCTCCCTATTGTGACCCCCTTCTCTCCTGGAAGAGTCAGGGGAAACCCTCAGCTGCAAGGAGACAGAGCAGAGCTGGGGAGGGGCATCCTCACCGCATCATACAGACACTTCAGGAACTTGATGTCTTTGTCCAGAGAGTCCACTTTGGCCTGAAGCTCCACTTTGACCGTATAGGCTGCGTCTGCATCCTGCCGAGGGACAGCCACAGCCACGGATCAATACAACCCTAACCCCACCAGCTGCTCTTCCCCTGACCCTGTCCCAAAGCCACATGACTTTATTGATATTGTTATTATTATTAATTATTATTAGCCCACAGGGAAGCGCGTTGATGTACAGAGTCACTCAGCATCAGTTTCTTCTCAGACTCTCTGTATCTTTGGGAACTGGCAAAGCCGGTGGGGACTGCACTTCCTTTGCTGCTTATGGAGAACACTAAGTCCAGAGAGGTGCTGAGTGCCCTCAGGTCACACAGAAGGGCACGCTGAACCAGGACTTCCTGTTCCCATCCCAGAATTCTCTCCCTTCTGTCCATATCTTGTCTCCTGTGTGTGTCCTTCCTCTCTAACTTGCTGGAGGCCAGAACTAGGACCCTAACCATGTTCAGACACCAGCCCCCTCTCCAGGTGGCCTGGGCTGAAGCCCTGAGCGGAGTTGCTTAAGATAGGGGCAGAAGAGACCACAGGCTCCTCTCTCCTCACCTTCTTGAGCACCACAAACTCATTCTCCGCTGCAGTGCGCCGGTTAATCTCCACCTCATACCTGCGGGCAGGGAGAGAAGATGGCAGAAGCCTCAGTCCTCTCAGCCAAGTAGTCTCTTCTTCCTGCTGGCCAGGTAAGTGCCCAGGCTGCAGAGTCCCCTGGGATGAGCACTGAGGCTAGTGGTAGGTGTAAGAATCCCCTGGGTTATATGACTTCTGTGCTTCTGCTGCACCCTAGGAAAATACCCAGGTGCCCATGGGGCTTTCCAAACTATTGGGTCAATAAGCATAGGCCCCTCTATCCACCAGCTAGGGCCTTCTCACCAAACAGGGTGGGGCTTTCCGCCATAACCAGAGAAGGGACAAGCTCCTGATCCTGGAGCTGACTCCCTCACCTCCAAAAAAGTGGTTCAGAGATTAGGTACATGACCCCTGACCTTTGGCAGGGCCTGCTCACCTCTTCTTGTAGTCCTCCACCACGTCCCGCATGTTCCTCAGCTCCGAGTCCAGCCTCACCCTGTCCCCAGACAGGGTCTCCAGCTGCTTCCGCAGGCTGCTGATGTGGCCCTCATAAATGGGCTCCAGGTTCTTCCTACAGTTGTTCAGGTCCAGCTGCTGCAGCAGCTCCCACTTGGTCTCCAGCACCTGGTTCTGCTGCTCTAGGAACCGCACCTGGAACCCAAATCAATGGCCACCTGGAACCACACGGATGCTCTCAGGCTCCCTGAGAACCATTGACTCTCCAGGTTAAGGGGATTTTTGTAAAGTCATTTGTCTCCAGTTCTGACTCACTGACCTTGGCATCTGCTGCAAAAACAACCCTTTACAGGTCCTCGCTCCCTCACCTCTGGATTACCAGTCCCTGAAAACTCAAAGGCGCCACAGCTTTCTTCTGTTGCCTACCCTGGTCCCAAGAGATTTTCTTTCATATCTCAGCTAAGTGTTTCTTCCTGTGCTCTGAGTTTCGCCTTCTGAACAGCGTTTGATTCTCTTAGCCCTTCATGCTCTTCGGAGAGCTGGGGACCTACCCAGCTGTCCCCAGGAACCCACCACTGCTTTCTCAAGGTAGGGCTACCCTCTGCCCAGTTTCCCACTCTTCTCTGTATAATCCCCAAAGAAGTCAGCTCATTCATTCATTCCTTTGTTCTACCTGCCTTGCAAATCTGTCGAATCTGTTCTCTGTCCCTTATGATGAGGGAGCCCCTCCTGTGGCCCAGCTGCACCCTTCCATCCATGTTGCCCAGCCCTTTCCCAGGCATTAAGGAAATTTCTCCTACCTCACTGAACCACCTTCTCCTCCTCCTTTAGACCCACCTTGTCAATGAAGGAAGCAAACTTGTCGTTCAGAGCCTTGATCTGTTCCCGCTCCTGGGCGCGCACTTTCTGAATTTCAGGGTCCAGCTCCACGTTGAGGGGGGCCAGGAGGTTCTTGTTGACAGTGACCTGGTGGATGCCCCCAGGCAGGCACACAGAGGCACACGAGGGCCCCAAGGCCACACTGCCAAACATACTTCCAGCAAAGCCGCTGGCCCGGCCCCCTCCATACCCAGAGCCATGCCCAAAGCTGTACCCTCCAGCCCGGACACCACTGCCAGCTACGTTGAAAGAAATATGCCGATTCCCTCCGAGACTGTAGAGGCTCCGGCTGCCAAAGCCAGCCCCAGCCCCTTGGCCAACGGTGCGGTAAGAGGCCAAGTTGCCCACTGTCTTCCTTGGCACCACTGCAGAATGCACGCTGAAGTTGCCCTTGTCACCACCGGACTTGAAGTAGTTCAGTTGCCGACTCATGGTGGGGAAGAGGAAGCCGACAGAGTGGGAGAAACGCAGTTGCCAGGGGCTAGACAGCACGAGGCTGGGGCAGCCAGAGCGCTGCCTCCTTTTATCCCTGCCAGGCCCCCGGAACAGGGCGGCTCTGTGCCATCTCCCCTGCCCCTGCCGAAGGGCCGGGGGCCATGGGCAATTTGCAGAACAAAGATCTCCAAGCCCTTTGCAGCAACAAAGCCCTTCTGATAGCAAGTGGAACATGCTGCCCTTGCACACTGGAGTGGTCTAATTTGGAGTTTATCTGTGCTCCCTAATTAGGGGCCTGGAGAGTTATCCCCTCCCGAGATCTCCCAGTTCTGTTTTGCCAGCTTGCTTATCTATCATCAAGGAGCAGGAGGAAAGCGTGGCTTTATCCAGAGAGGGCTCATCTGGACACTCCAGGTTTGTTCCCAAAGGAAACCATCTTCCTGATATCCATTCTTGCTGAGGAGCTGAGGTGCTTAAGTCAGAGAAAAGGAGACTTGAAAAGGAGACTCTTCTTGGAAAGGTATCCTTAAAGATCTGGAAAGAAGCTCTGCAGAGCCACTCTCAGGGTCATGCTAAGGATCACAGCTGTCTGGCGATGGAATGGACTTTAGAAAGAGGGTAGAAAGGAGCAGGTAGCAGCTGCCGCAGCCCCTGCAGAGATGTTGTCAGGGGATTTCTGTATTAAGCAGGGACAGTTTGGCTTGTAGTGACCTCAAAGTTGCTTTTTCAACAATGAGAAGCTTTTCAGACAGCCAGCATTTCCTCCAGTGGAATTTTCTTTCCTGGATAAGCTTATCAGTCCTATCCTGGAAAGCCAGGCAGGGGCTGGACATCAGCTCATCTCTCCCTGTGTAGAACGGGGAGCCCTGAGTTCCACTGTAGTGATCAGGGTGGGCTGCTCTGCCAATGTCCTGATCACTGCCAGGAGCCACTCAATTTAAAACAGGAAACATCAGCTCTTTATAGCTCAGGTAGTCCTGATGGAGTGGTATGTTTAAAAATTATTTCAAACCTAGGTATGTGGTAGCTGCCCTACTGCAGGACACTGACCGCGGCCTATAACTCTATCAGGGGCCTTGACTGTTGGCATCAGGCAGAAGATAGCAGACAGCTGCTCCCACTGTTGGGGTGCAAATGGGGAAGGATGAGCAAGGCAGGGAGATATGGAGGCTGGAACTTGCCTCAGAGGACTTCCCCTTCAGTCCCTGAAGCAGCAGTGGACCTGCCTCTCAGCATTCCTGGCAGGGCCTGACCCTGGGGCCAGGGAGGGCACAATTGAAATGGTGGCTTGGGGTTTCCTAAGCCTGATTGAGGGTCCAAAGTTGAATGTGTGCTACCTGCTGGGCAGATGCTAGCTTCGCCTCCTTTCTGGTGTGAGAATGTCAACAAATCATGTAAATTCCTTGGGGGGGGGGGTAGTGACTGACATATGGTCCCAGTCCCTAAGGAGCCTGAAGGCCAATGAGGGGGATCTGCACCAAGAACTTAAACCAGAGCCAAACCTCCAGAGTAACAGAAGGGCACTCTGAACTATGAAACAGAGGCTGCAGAGGAGGAGTGGCTACTTTTGATGGGGTTTTAGGAGCCTCCTGAAAGCTAGGCTTAGTATCCCCCAAGGTGCTCATCACAGGGGCTGCCTTAAAGGAGCAGGGGTTACAGAATGAATTCCAGCGATAGTAGCAGTGGGGGCAGCCGTAAGATGATCTCAGTAATAATGTTAACAGAGGAGCGAAGGCCTACGGTTCACTTCATTTCCACGCCAGGATTCTGCCAGGCGATATGTGGATCTATAATTCAGCCCTCACATTGCTACATTTATTTACAGTTGAGGAAACTGGCATTTAGTGCCATTAAGGAGCTTGCCCAAGGTCACTCAGCCATTCAATCAGAGCTGAGACTGGAGTTCATGTATACCTGGTGTCAAAGCCCATGTTCCTAACCACATGCTACGTGACAGAGGCAAAGAGGCAGAGGCTTCCTGGTGCATGCAGCCGGCAATGGCAGTGTGGGCTGAGTCCTTTTTGATAATGTTTTTCTTTTCTTTGAATTTTGATACCTGGGATTGAACCCAGGGATGCTTAACCACCGAGCCACATGCCCAGCCCTTTTAAAAAATATTTTATTTAGAGACAGGGTCTCAAATAAAATTGAGTTGCTTAGGGCCTTGCTTAGTTGCCAAGGCTGGCTTTTGAATTCATAATCCTCCTGCCTCAATCTCCTGAGCCGCTGGGGTTTCAGGCGTGTGCCACTGCATCCAGCTCTTATGTTTTTGAGTCAAGTGTGATGTGAGGGGAAAGGGAGGCTGCCACAGAACCAGGGGCCTGTGTCAGGTGGTTGCTTAAGATTAGACATCACTCCAGAGTCCTGAGACAAATTTAGCCAAAATAGGGATGGGCAGAAGGAAGGAAAAAAGTTTCTCCTTCCTGAAGGGCTGTCTTATTCTAGAAGCCCCAGTAGCTGTCCCTTCACCCCAGGATCCCCAAGGGAAAGAAACCTAGTTCTGATTATGGCAGTGTCCTGGACTCACTTTTGCACCCCATCTGCCTGGCTGAGTGTGAGCCCCAATGTGCAGAAAGCTGGGCCTCTTACTAGGGACCCCTACAATAGAGCTTTTACAAAGTAGGAAAGTCTGGATCCTCAAATTGGGAAAGACTTAGGATAAACCCAAGGCAGATTTCCAGGTGCCCATGAAAATGCCAGGGCATGAACTAAACCCACCCATGCTCAGAAACCATGGGCTGGAGGTACTTACTGAGTGCCCCCTCCCCTCCGTAGGCCAAGCCCTGTGCTAGGGAGTGTCAGCAAGGACGTAATGATGGGGATGGAGATGACACTGATGGTGGTGATGACAGAGAAGGACTAGGCAGAGGTGGAGGGGATTTCCCCACAGCAGTGGTGTGATCATGGCCACACAGAAATACCCTCTCTAACAGGTGCCCAGGGGGCACAACTGCAGGGGAACTGCGTTTGGCCCAGGCAGGAAGATCTCCACAGTTCCAGCCCTCTCCATGCTGGCTACCCTTTCATCACTCACCACACGCCACACCTCGCTCATGGAGTTCATTGGACTAATTTGTGTCCATGGCCTGAAGAAATTGATTCATTCAATAGGTAGGAAACCAATCACCTACTACGTGTTCAGTTCCATGCTAGACATGGAGAGGGATGTCTAAGATACTGTCTTTCTCCTCTAGGAAGTTAACCAAACTGAAGAGACAAAATATAAGCACATTAAAATTGTTCCATTGTAATTGTTATCGTTTTCATTCTGCATAGCTGTGTTGGATTATAGACAAAAACGAGTAACTCTGATGAGCTATTACTGAAATTCTGATTTTTAAAAAAAAATCTCCTAAAATGCGCTTTTTGATTATCCTAAGTCATCACTAGCCTAAACAAACAAACAAAACCAGAACAAGACAGATGTGTGTCTGTTTGGAGTGAGGGGTGGGAGGTAGGCCAACCTGGGCAGGTAGGTGGAGCATCCCTGAAGCAGTGGGAGCCCAGGTGGGCTGTGGGTGGTCCCCTTCTCCTGCAGAGAGTGTAGAATCAGGTGAGGGTCCCCAGGGGAAGCAACGGCACAGAGCCTGTGCTTTAGGTTAAAGAATAGAGCAGTGTGGGAAACAGCTCCACAGAGACCCAGAAAAAGCTGTGCACACTGCCACAAAACCCCACCATCTTGGTTTAGAAAAGTCCCAGAGGGCAAGAATCACATTCCACAAAACACATCGTACCAGAGGTAAATAGAAAGCAGCCCCAGATGGGACATTGTGACAATGCAAAATGGACATAAGTCAGGAAGGCTTGGTGTGAAGATGGATAAGGAAGGTCATTTTTCTCTGGCCGCTTGGCCTTCTGACTGCCCCTGACACAGGACAACCGTTGAAGGACCAGAATCTGTAAGCAAAAGGTCATTCATAAACAAGAGAAGCAGCTGGAAGGATTCTTGAGCTAACTTTGGGGCAACACAATCCAGGGATGAACCACAGGACCTTAGCGATGACCTAGAATTCTCTGCTTTCCCCTAGAAAAGGAGCTCAGTGCAGAAATCGGACCCACTGCCTGTCCAAGACCAGCCAGCAGGTGTGAGAGGAGGTTCCCTCCTCACCCAGAGTTAGCTAGCTCACACAACCCTGTCCATCTGCCTTCCTCCCTGTCCTCTCTGTGTCCCTCCCCAAACTCTCCATCTTCCTGACCTGAACCGTGCAGGCTCCTGGGGTATGCAGCCCCATGGCAGAGAGGAAATGCACCAAGGAGCGGGTACAACTGCCGCCATCTGATCCGGGACATTGGAGAGAAAGGGCAGGGAAGGGATGCGTGCGAGGAGGCACCCTATCCTCATTTAAAAATAAAAATATTTCTTTTTTGGTACTGGAAATTGCACCCAGGGGTACTTTACCACTGAACTAAATCCCCAGTTCTTTGTTGTTGTTTGTTTGTTTGTTTGTTTGTTTAATTTTGAGACAGAGGCTTGCGAAGTCACTGAGGGGATCCATCTGCCTCAGTTGCCCAAGCCACTGGGATTACAGGACTGTGTCACCATGCCAGGCTCAGCATTGATTTAAATTTACTTCCACTCTCACCTATTAGATGCCTACTCTGTTATGGATACTGTGCTGAATGACATCCCAGACAGGCAGTCACCAAGGTCAAAATTCCCACATGAACATCTATTTATGACAAATGAAGCAGATCACAGTCAGGGACCTGGAACCTGGCAGCTGTCCCCTCATGATTACTGGTCTCATGGACCTTTCTACAGCACCACTGGGTTACGCATGGGGAGCTGCTTCTCTGCAGATACCCTTCTCTGGGCCAAGGGCTTCCCTTAACCAGCATCAGCCTCTTGGTCCTCCTCTGTGGCAGCCCAGCTCAGGACAGGCACATGCCTCTCTTCTCATTCAGTGCCTTGGTGCCAATGAAATAAAAGGTGCCCCTTTGCGGGGTGCATGGCTGGGTCACAGCCCCCACTTGCCCTTCACCATGCCCTGGTGCTGGGCACAACCTGCAAGTCGTCTCCAGAGCAGTCTTGCGGAATCTCCAGGACAGGCTCATGTTGCACAGGTGAGTGGAGCCTCTGGTCAGAATTCTCCCTCCTGCCCAAAGAGGGTCCTCAGAGTCTCCTGGACCCCCAAACTCCCCAAGCTTCTGCAGGGAAG